AAAATAGAATAAAAATAAGAAACAAATATTTCACTTACGGGTTGTCTAATAGATTACTCGTGTCGGCAAAACTTCGAACGTTAGTGTGCAAAAGTAACATTCTTGGGTTCAGGCTCGGGCACAAGTTATATCATTACACATTGCCATTTCCTTTGCTGTGGCCATACAGTATATGAAAGACCGGGAAGCCTCTGGGAAGCCTCGAAATTTGTGCTCTTTCCCCTCTGCCATTTTTTTCAGCCCATTCTCGCGCGGATTCGTGAACTCGTTCCAGGCTTCTTAATTTGCTCAGCGGAATTACGGATACGAACAAACTTAAACAACGTCACAACATACCTCCCATAGTCCGATTGAGCCACGAATGAAAGTTAATAACGTTCCTTCTTTTTGTCATCGGCATCTCCTTACGCTGAAAAAAGCTTCAAGGCATTTTTTTTAGGGGGGTAGGGAGGGGGGCGTGTTAATTACATTTTCACAGTGTAACACTCAAAATTTCGCCGATATGAATAATCTATCGTACAACAGATTAGTGAAATATTTATTTTTTATTTTAACCCTATTTTGAGGGGTTCCGTAGAAGGGGTCCGTAGGGGTAGTCCGTGGACCGGTCCATGGGTAGTCCACGGACCCGGTCCATAGTGGGGTCCGCGGGCCGGGGGTCAGTGTTTTCGGGTTACCCCCGACCGGGAGCTGTCCTGACTTCCATTTGTCAATTTTTTTTTTTTTTTCATATATTATATTATTCACCTCTAATTTTGATGTATGTGAAACACTTGTAATTTAGCTTGTGTGTCGTACTGTCTTTTATGTGATCATGTAGCTAAGTGTATTACAGAATAAACTTCATGATTGTACTGAGTATTTTATTGTATTGTAATCTATCACAAAGAATGGGACTTTTCCCCACGAAACCACAAGTGCTGGCATAGCACATACTTTCGGAATGATGTAATTTCTCTAATATTTCTGTCAGAGTATCTAAGATTGACAGTTTAAGAAAGTACCAATGAGTCATTGCATTCATACTCGTTGGATTCTGGCAGAATGCCCTGATCTTGTCAACTTTTCTCGCAATGTGTGATTTCTTAGAATTTGTCAACGTGTGCATGTTGATTTCTTTCGCTGACTCGAACTCGGTGTAATGACACAACTCATGCACTGTTTGTCTTTGATTCGTTATCTGCATAAAGAGAGAGGCAGTTACTGTATTTTATTTGGACAGAGCTCGTTTTCTTTCCCATCCTCGGAGACCCAGGGGCTACTAGCCGGGAAGAAGCGATATTTTCGGGCAGAAGTTTACTTCAAGAGCTGAAGAGCCCCTGGGAACTTATTCTTACCGAACCAGTTCCAGAAGTGGTCGAATTCCGTCCCTCTGACTAGAAAAATATTTTTCTGGCTAATCAGCCAGGAGGTCCAGCTGGGTAACTCTGTCGCCTTCTTACACAAAGTGGTTTTCTTCATCGATCGACCTGCTTGGCCCGTACAATGGGAAGATTCTCGTGGAGAGTTCCAGAAAAAAAAGATTCAAAGAAACCAAGGCAATCGCAAGCCGTAACATGGGAGTCAGGAAGCAATACTCTTCCATCACTTTTCTCGGCGGATTTATCGAAGGTATATCGTAAATTTTTATAGCTAATGTACGCGATTTCTGCACTGTTGTTTTTGACTGCGGGGAAAGTTAGTCGTGTGCACAAGCTTACTTATTATGTCTCCTCGAACGTTGAACAACTTCTGAAACTTTCTGCAATGTGCAAATCGCCGTCGCACGGGCCACACAACTATATCAACCGAACGTGGGAACGATCGGCTAATTACTGCTAATTTCAGTGGACGCACCTTCTTGCTATCGCGCGTACGAGTAGCTCAGTGGTTTTAGAGCTTCCGGTTAGATCACGGAGGGTCGTGGGTTCAAATCCCATCTGGAACCCGGATTTTTTTCCGAGTCAGATATTCCAAACATCAGATATGCATTTGGCTGCCAGAAATGTGTCAGAAATTTAACTAAAGATGGGTGGGGGGAGGGGGTCACCAACTCTGTTTCAGGGATACAGTGTGCGAAAAAAAAAAAAATGCAACTTACAACTTTACGCGCCGAAGCATCGACTAAGTAATATAAAATGAACACCAATAGTTGTAGGTCTGCTAGGAGTCACTGCTACTAACACCTTCGGATCTAGCCATCTTGGACGTTCGGTGACACCAACTTTTCTTTTGACAAATCACTTTCTTTCCCGGTTTCCTAAGTTTTGCGAGAAAATAGAAAAAGCCTATTATTTATTAGAAGTTTGAAATTTTTGCCCCACGGACAATCCAACTCTGCTTTTCTGATGAGCTCTGTTTTTAGCTGTTCGACTTTTTAAAGGGTTAACTTTTATGAATAGGATGGCAACATCTGAAATTATTAATGCAACATACCCTCTTAGACTAAATATATCGGTTTTAACTGGAAATCCTGGAGACCTTGCAAGTTTCTTGCGCCAGTTTTCAAACTCAGGGTACCAAACAAACTGAAGTCCGCTTTTTCTCTGAAGAGTAAACCTTACATAAGTAGTTAAAGTCCGTCATTTAGAGTGTGTTGATAATGGAATTAAAACAAAAGAGAAGATATATATTACAATAACTAAGCAAGTGCATGATTTGACTAGTTTTGTAACGAAACTATACTCAAGCAAGCTCGCTTTGATTAAATGTTAGCTTATCCATGCACAGAAAAAATAGCACTGGAATGTTTACAAAGAGCCATGCTTCCTCTTCATGATGCAAACATATGTCATTCAAGGCTATCTTGAAATAAAGTCACAATTTCTTGCAATTATTGTTGTGTTTTCCTTCATGTTAGGGATAAGGGTAAAGAAGAGGTTCAAGAAAGCACGTAGCCCACCTCAGGCCTAGAAAACTGAAAAATGTGTGAGATTTTCGAAACGGGCACTGTGCGGCCCGACCTAAACCGTTAACTGATTGAGTCTTTAACAGCCCCGCCCCCCCCCCTCCCCCAACTCCACCCCCGTGATGCCTTTCATAAACCCAGTTATGCGAAATAACTAACAAACTAACAAAGATACAGAAAAGGAACGTACGGCGTAGTCAATTAAGGCTATACACGCAGGCCATACTGTGATACTATAAGCCTGTGCGCAGGCTAAAGATTTGCTTCATGAAAACGTTTCTGTGTGAATACTGAGGCTACGTAGACCTTAACAATACACGTCAAAGTCTATACCAAGCTTTCGCGGTAGGAGCGAAGTTAACACTAGAAACGCTTCAACAGATTATCCACAAAAACGACAGCATTCCAAGCTTCAAAGACGGTTTATTCTTAACAAGGTGGTCTCTACTTACATGTGACTTCTATTATATAATTTATCACATTGCCCTCACAAACTTAGCCAAATGAAAATAAATTACAGAGCAATTTCTATTTTTAATTGCAAATGTTCTAGCTTTTCTACTGTTGAACTAGGCTTACAATTACAACAACAAATAAAATTGATGCGTGACTTTTATCATAAATATATATGTAGTAATTTTAGGATACATTTTCACGGAGCATATGTATTTAATTGTTGCCCCCTTTCATGTTATATTTGAGCTTGTAACCAAGCTTTTTCTCCATGCACTTGATGTACACTCCTTCCTTAAACTTATGGTTTTCCTGCTGGATCCATTTCACTCTTAAGTCCTTTCCACCATTCCTTCTGATGTTTCGTCGGATAAAGCCATCTATCTTTTGGTCACTGTACTTGTGCTCCTTAATCCGGTCATGGACATCTACGGACTGCCCCAAGTACAGGTATATGATGGCTGTTTTAGACGACCTCTTTACTCCAATCACATAAATACCCCCAACATGAGGTATCAAAGAGGAGTCGCTGTAACGTAACCATTGCTTATGTATCAGATTATCGCATATGTCGTTAGCCATCTGTTAACAAAGGAATAAATGCTGGTTGATTGCACTTGTCTTTTTCTTGTTTCTTTTTTACCCTTCGCATACACATGCACGACCATTGTAGTTACTCCACTTATTAAACGGTATTAAGAGCGAAAAGAGTACTAGTTAGGTAATGAATTCAAGGGACCGGAGGGGAGGGGTGTGGATGAACTATGCGGATAAAGGTTCCAAAATTACAGTTCGCTGATGAGAAAGTTGATAACATTTTACAATACGCGCGCTGATTTTGCCCGTCACGCAATCTTTCCTTCTAACGTTCGTGGGGAGGAAAAGACTGCGTGACGTCTGCGCAGGTCGTGACCATCTGAGAATCGTTTGGGCAAGTTCAAGCAAGCCGCGGATGCGTCATGTTTGAGGGCCAAAGCTCAAAATATTTTGCTCAAAATCGTTTCCTAAAGCCCTTATAGAACTAAATTTTTCTTTCGCGAATTTTTCGTGAATTTTCTTCCGTAAAAATTTTCTTACTATTTAGTTTTTGTATCAGGATAAAGACATCTCACAGTTTCATAATATACTGGACAGTCGAGCCTCGGCATGCGGCGGACGGAGTTTCAATATTTTATGATTATTTCATGAATACTTAAAGGCAGAGAAGAACGTTGTTCTCACCTTCGCTTGAGTTTCTGGAGCCTTAAGATGGGCAATCAGGAAGACGTTTTGGTGTCTCAGCTATAAGTAAAGAGAGAAAATACGGTTTACAAATCATAACAAGTCACTTCACAGAGTACACAGAAGTCACGTATATAGATATTTTCGGCTGAGATGAAATACTTTTCGTTTTTGCAAACATAATACATATTGTGATTTTTGTGGATATTATTCTATGAGGGTTGACCCCGTGAGTCAGAGCACGAATATTTTCCAACATATCGAGATTTTATAGTGTCCTGAAGCTTGAAAACTTCCTCAACCACAAAGCCAAAATAATACATGAAATCGCTTGATATTTCTAAACAAAGATCTACTAGTCTAAGGAGAATTAAATGAGGCTTTTCGTCAAAATTCTATAAGAATTTAAGACTGCCAGATATCTGAATTTGTGAAAACACTTCCTGGCTGCCGGGTATCTATACAGATCTATACACAACGTTATAAATATGTTTGGCTTTTGTCACACTGAGATCGCTCGTGGCACACGATTAGCCATGATTTCGGATACTGTAGGCTAGATAATTCGCCCTGTTTTAGGAAATAAACTGTGTAATGAAAACAAGGACGGAAAATCGAATCAAGAAGCCAACTCACCTCTCTTAATAAGCGTAGTTCCAGCGATCTTGTGAACAGAATGTTTCAAGTTTTTGGATTTGAATTTAGCGCCTCTGCTCCCAAGTTAAAATAGACTCCATGATGTCATGTCTATTTCAGTTTATCCCGGCTTTCTCACCAATAAGAAAACACTTTTTGTTATATTCCAAAATCTGATTGGTCGATCAGCAAAGGGATATTTCGTTAACTGTAATATTTAATTTTAATGGTTATAAGAATTTCATAAACATCTCTTGATATGATACAATAATTTCTGCAGGTTTATGAAATTCTTTATCACTGCCAAAGGATGGGACTTTCCCTCCGAAACCGCAAGTGCTGGCTTAGCTCTTACTTTTGAAATGATATCATTTCTCTAATACAGTTACAGTCATAGTACCTGATCGATCTATTATTTGGTTTGCATTGCATTCATATTTGTTGGATTCTGACAGAATGCCCTGCTCTTGTCTTCTTTTCTAGGAAATGGTCACGGTGTGTGATTTCTCAGAATTTTTTTACGGGTTGTAGCGAAAACTAAGACCCCCGAAACTAAGACCTAAGACCTAAGACCCGAAAACGAAGACCCGAAAACGAAGACCCGAAAACGAAGACCCGAAAACGAAGACCCGAAAACTAAGACCCCCTTATTTTATTAATTTTTGGCCTTTGTTTATCTTTGTGATCTATGATCACGGTGTTCACTTTTGTTTGATTATCGTTTCCTTCGTCTTTGAGTGGGAACTAAGACCCCCGAAAACTAAGACCTAAGACCATAGATCATAGATCAAAAAGATAAACAAAGGGCAAAAATTAATAAAATAAGGGGGTCTTAGTTTTCGGGTCTTCGTTTTCGGGTCTTAGGTCTTAGGTCTTAGTTTTCGGGGGTCTTAGTTTTCGCTACAACCTTTTTTTACGTACGCATATTGATCTCTTCGCTGAGTCGAAGACAATATAACGACCCGACTCATGTACAGTGTTTCTACATGATTCAATTTGATTTCTGACTTACATCAGAGAATACGAAGGAGAGAGAGTGATGGTGCATATAGTATTTGAACAGTGTTGAATTTGGTTAGTTTGTTTCGGCCTTTCCACCCAAGTACATGTAGAAGGAACCTTTATCAGGATCAAGGTAACATGAACGAGGAATAAACGTGGGTTTAAATGATTGCAGTTCCTGCTTTTTTGGAGGCGAGGGAAGAGTGAATCGTTCTTCAAGTAATTGTGATTGGATTTTGACATAGTCTGAGATTTGCATCGGCATTTTGTGGATGGAGAAAGATCGACAACAAAAACAACATCTTTATCTCCATCGATATATCATTCATGGCCGATGGAGTGACTGTTCATCAGGAAAACCCCTTGGGAGGAAATAAACTATCTCACAAGCAGCGGATCCAGTTAAGTCATCTGTATGAAGTTACGAGTTTATCAAATCTCAATTCTAATTTTATAATAGAGCTTAATAAGAACAACGAATAGTTGCTATATCTCAGATGCTTGGCTTCGGTATGTAAGTTCTCGTGAGACTTAGTTACATTTGTTTCAATGCTTTTTGTTATATTCTGGCCAATAACCGATTGTTTTATGTATACAGTCGAGGTATTCTCCTTCTATTGCTTCTACATGATCGTTAGCCTTCTCTTCTACCCATTTGAATCGTATGTCTTGCCCATTAGTAAGAAGGAATTGATCCAGTTAACAAACCCATTGATATCCAAATCCTGCCGTTTGTGCTCCTGTAGTCGCTTGTAAATGTCGCTGGAATGCTCCACAGATGTAGCCACATCTACTAAACACGGGCGTCTGTTTGCGCAAAGCCTATGGCATAAATGCCTTTAGCCTGATGTGCTTAATCGTATAACTGGAATAGAATTTGATTTCTTTATCGAGAAGACGTTGACAAATATTAGAGGCCATCCGAGGGATCATAATAACGTGCGTATTAATAGCTCTGATGTAGTTTTCGCCGTGATCGTTTTTCTTCAGTAAAGCATTTCTGTTGTCGTAGTAACAGTTTTTCTCGTACTGTGCGGCCAAAAAAAGACTGAAAATGTCAATGTGAAGCACTGCGGTTGGCTATAGCTGATCTCTTCTGTGAACTCAGTAAACTTGATCCAAGTGAAACGTAGGCTGTTTTAGAGATCACTCCGAGAAATCAAGTTAATCAGTCAGTTAACTGTGGAGGTCATTATTAATAGGTAATTCGCCTATTACCCATTCCCAACATTCTGCTCTGGAGGTTGAAACAGAGAAGTAAAGAAAGACGCATCGTTGTTATTGAATGATGAGAGTTTCATCAGCAACTCGAGTCGGTCAATATTTACTGAACATGCTTCATATTTTGTAATTAAGTTCACTTTCGCTTTTAAACAAGGGATGAGTCAAATTTATAGAAAATATAGAAGGAAACCTCGGAGAGAAACCTTTGAGGCCCTTCGACAAAGGAAGATGTGGCAGGCGCTCTGTTTAATAAGGGAGACGTTGAATACAGAGAGCAAGTTCTTAGACTTCCTACACCACAGTCAGCTTTGCATAAACAATTCCAAGCAAGCTAGACTTGAGCATATAGCAAACATGACTACTGTACTGTTGGACTTACTTCGCATAGAAGTCGGCAGGAGCAATTACCTTAGTTTTTGACCTGTTCAGTTACGCGCAGCCTTTCATTTATGTGTATTTTTTAAGAGTGAAGGAATGATTTATACGACCAACCATGACAATGCAGTCAGACTAACACAACAGTTGTTATAGATAACAAGATCGTCTGCTAGCTAATTTTTGGCTTTTATATAACAGAAAACGAACCTTTGGGAGACTGAACAGGAAAGAATTAGCTTTAATTAAGATCCACATTCCATTTCCCTGCCAGCAAGTCTCCTCACTATCCCAGAGGTCCACTGTACCTTACCACTGCTGTTCACAGATTGACTTCTGATTTCTTTAAACAGGTTTTAATAAGCTTTCTCGAAAGACAGGGAGCTCCCATTGAACTTTGTAAATCAAATGTCTTTACAAACTTGTTCCTTTTCCTCTCGAGTCCAATATTAAGCCATGATTATCAAGGTCACAAAGAACGAAGGATGAATGCACGGTTTCGTGATTGTATTTTCATTGTTCGAAAGGTTTGAAAGGGTGACTTGCCGAAGTCAGTTTTCTGTCGAATTAGCACTCCAAAATCAAATGAGCCTTTGGATGCGAGGTGGGTGAAGGGAAAATGCGCGCGACCGAGTGGATGATACCTATTACTATTTTGCGTTTTCGTTCAAGTTGAAAGTAATCTATACATCAGAAAATTGACTTAAAATATTCTGACATAGCTCACGTCTGATCAGCTACACATCGGCAGGAAAAAGTTAGTTTATTGAACGTAATTGATTTAAATTTGTCTGTTATGCTTGTATAACTCTGTTCATTGATATAAAAGTGATAAAATACCAAAACAAAAAACAAAAAAAAAAAAATACAATAAAAGTAATACAATACCAAACAATAACAAATAAATGTTTTAAATATTAAAGACAACACTTTAGGCTGGCTTGACTCACAAGCTTGGGTAATTCTTTCCAACAATGACACTGACAGTCTAAAGCCTATGTTAATGTTTACCCTCTACTTTCAATGCTTTATGTTATACTTAGGCCAGTATTTTAATTTATGTGCCATACATTGAATATATTCTTTCTCAGTGGCCTCTTTATTGTTCTCCTTAACCCACTTGACTCACAAGTCTTCACCTCCATTTTCCTGGAATTCTGCTTTCACAAACTCGTCAATCTTTAAGTTTTGCCTCTTGTGCTCGGCCAGTCGTCTGTGGACGTCATTCGTTCGGCCCACGTAAAGAACTGTTGGCTCTCCTAGTCGCAACTGTCGCGGGGCGCAAGATAAAATACCGATGCAATATATACCTTCAATGCCTCCGGGAACATTTTCGATATCATATGCCCTCCACTCCTTTTCTAGTAACTTCTGACAAATATTTGATACCATTTTCTTTCCACTAAATCCATAGATAGAAAAAATACAACATTAATATTTAGAATTTAGACAACTATGTGGTTCAGATTAGTCTTGGAAGATTTGAAGCGATCATTGACCGATCGATGGATTGATAATTTCAAAATTAATGAACTGATTAATTGATTTTACACGTGACATGCGTGACTCACTATATCTTTCCAGGAAAGATTGGATTTCAGATTAGAGCTAAACGTTCTAAGAAATAATACTCTTTATCCGATTCGAGCTCATATCTATCCCTCTTTTATTTTAACAATGGTTTTGTGTCGGTCGACCACACTGAGTAAGTACACACGACAGCTTTTCAGTCAATCAGTCGAGAAATCAGTATTGTAAACATGACAGTAAAATAAATACTATAAATATAACGTATTGATCGTAAATAACAAATGTGCTAAGAAGATATTTATTATATTCGTCCTTACCTGATTTATAATTGCTTCTCGATCCGGGAACAGCGACAGCATTCTTCTTGCCGTCTTGCAGTCCTCTTCCTCTTCTACTTCTTTATACACTGTAAGCTGCTGAAAGAAAACAAGTTGGCATATCTGGCCGTCTCTTCGTTTGGCTAAGCCTTTACGAGCTGAAGCTAGCTGAGACTCCCTGATTCCAAACAGGAGTCCCTGGAGTCATATCGATGCAACAACATTCAATCGAAGAAATTAGCTATTTCAATGTTTTTATCGCCTCTGGAAGGGCTCCCGAAGGACGCTTCCGTTCAACGGTCGAACCCGCCAAAATCTCCTGGATGTTTTCATTTTATTTCAGCGCGCTATGGAAGCCGGGCTCCGGCCGTCAAGAAGAAACACTTCCAAAACGACCTCTAGGAGCCTCCCTGAAGCAATAAAACTATAGAAACAGACAACAGGTGAGGCTTCTAACACTTTCAGTCAGGTTATTTCCAACTTTACGAAGGAAAAGCGAAATTTCCTCTATCGAATTTCACGCACATACAAACCAGTCTCATAGTACAGACTTTTCACGGGAATGGTTCGATTCGGTTACACATTCAGTTGAGCTGAGATCAATTTCATGAAACATTGTTTCACGACCCCTACATTCTCAATGCTTGTGAGCGCAACTGACATAAGATAATGGCCGACTTTGACTACACAGATATTCAATCTAGCAATGTATTTCAATTATGTCAATAATTTCTTTTGACTATTGAAATGAATTGAAAATTGCTTTCGAAAGACACGAAAACAAATCAAGAAAAAACTTACATGAAGCTCTGTCAAAGTACCTTAGTTCTATCTTGTGGATGAAAGTTTGCTGATTTGAACTTGGCGCGTTAGAGGCTCAGGAATTTATAGCCCGCATGACGGACCTCATGTTTATTTCTTCTTTCTAAGCAAAGAGAAAACTTCATTTTCGAGATTCTAACATCTGATTGGTCAATCTGTGAAGGGTTCTTTCCCTACCTCTTTAGGTCTCATTTGATAGCTATCAACAAGTTAAGGGAATTTTCCCTAAACAAACCGCTCAATACTTGCTTATTTTTGTTGCTATACGCATATGATTCAATACCTTCAGGTTGTTTCTTTGTCAAATTCTTGCGTCGCAGAAGATGGGACGTTTTCCTCGAAAATCGAAAGCGCTAGCTTAGCACATAGTTTTGAATAGTTTGTTTTCGAATAATATTTAAACTATAATATACAGTTTATGTTTCGCCCGCCTTTTTTACCCGATTGAATTTTTTGTGCGCTCTTTTGCTTCAATTCTCACGACCTCGTTACCAGGGCCACTCTTGAAATTACCACTCTGTTATTGCCACTACTATTGCAATTTATATCTCTGCTCCTAGATATGTTAATTTGAATTCATTATGATGAAGCATTTGAGTTTTGCCGATGGGTTGAACTCATACAGTTTGCCTCCACTGACTGGTTTCTGATTTCCGATCTTAATACATCAGTGGATAACATACCAAGGAGTGGGATCTGGAGCTTCTTGTGCAGTATTGTATTTGGATTTCACATGAGTATATTTACATAAGATTAAATAAGATCAAGGTCATATAGAAGAAGTCAAATAAAGCTGAGTTTACGATCAACATGGTTGCATTTTTATATTGGGGCCAGTTGCGAATCGTCCCTCTTCCTCGGTGTAACTGCTGACAACTGATCCATTTTTTGACTGAAAGAGTTACATCACTGAGAACTCGTGGATGTAGTGAGATCAATAGACGCTTGGGTTCGTCGATCGATAATCAGACCACAATTGCCAGCGAGACTGCGCCAAAACATGTCATAAAACTTCTGGTTGGCAGGGACAGAAATTGCCGAGGGAGTGAAACTTCTCCCGCGAAACTCCTTCTGGAAACATTATTCGTACAAGCAGTAAATATTATTTACTAGCACTTCAACTTTCTTAATAACTCGTGACCCTCCTTAAGTTATATCTAAGAGGCAGTCGAGGTCCATAAGCATGCAAAAAAAAAAAAATAAATAAAAAAAATAAGAACTTGTAGCTTGCTGTACCTCGTTCCCGGAGCGGGAAAAGCCTTCGGAACGAGGTTGGCTAGGTTAATAGAAAATCTTTTTACGTGGCATAAGAAACACGCTTTTCTTGAGAGATAGAGTGGGTAATCCCGGGCGAGCAGAACAACCTTATCCTGCCCTTTAGTGTAGCCAGACCCCTAACTCTGTTAATATATAACTTTTTAAAACATTTTTGTGGGGCCAAGGGGAAATAAAACTTGTGTTGTAGCCAATCACTACACTTCTACAGGATTTTGTTTACCTTGCCAGCGCGCGGATATTGAAGTGGGGTACATGTAAGTTGTAGTGATAAGTGCAAAGCTGACGCACATTGAGGCACATTTGACTGAAAAGAACACAAAGAAAATACAGTTTGACTGCACATGAGGTCTATCACCCACACTGAGTGTTGACCAACGAACTGTAATGGATAAAATGAAAATTACCAGTTTATTAAATCTCAAGTCTAAGCTAACTCGTAATAACTACAGAAATGAAAATCGCACAATGATGACAATGGCAGCGATTTTTCTTTTCTATAGTTATGTCCACACTAGGCCAAAACATGATTAGTCTGATCACGAATGAAAAATGTTTCGTTATGAAACGAACCAAAATTGGGTCTTTTATGAGGCCAAATGTCTAGTTGAACCACGGGCCGATAAAGAAACACAACGGCAATTATCGGCGATGGGTAGAAAGCAGAATATTTGGGAGAACATTGCCGCAAAACTTAATGAGGTGTAAAACATTTATGCGAGTACATGAAACAACATAAATTATACAACCATGCATGAAACGTGTTTGAAACCAACATCTGATGTGAACAATGCAATAACAAACATGTTTAGGCGAAACATGGTTTACTGTAATCACGTTTCGACTTTGATGTGAACACAGCTTGTGACTCTTACTATTCTTCGATTTATGACCAAGCTTAACCTCGTTCCCAGGGCCCAAGGTCAGTTTCCCTTCTAAACGTGAGCCTTTTATTCTTCACTACTTAGTTCATTTTATTCAATAGTTTCGCCCGTTATCTCAATCAAATTACTGTTTTTACTAACGCACCAACATCCAAATTTTGTCGCTTTTCGAGGCACCTACAAATATCGTCGGAGTATCAATCTAAATGTGTTAACATCATTTTGATGCGCGCGACCTAAAACATCAATTTCATCACATACCAAGCAGACAAATTTGTCGAAAACTTGACAAGTGAACATTAGCAAAAGAAATTAGAAACATGCTTCCAGAGGAGGAAATGAATGGTTTATCACGGAATGTAACAGAATAATCAGTGACGCTTGCTGGGATGGAGAAGGGGAGGGCGAATGAAAAAACAAGCCACTAATAGAAGCCCATATCACTAACAATTGTTTTAAGGAATGGTCAGACTTGTACTAAAATCCAATGCATATGATTACTAATAATGAGCAGTGGTGGTGCCAAATTAGACCTATTTATGGCATGGTAGTTATTATATTTTTGCATATATAAATACAAACTAACACTATTTTGAGTTTGATCAATAGAGTTTTTCACTTGCAATGACTCAGTGTAAGTGGGCCACTCACTATTTAACAATTAGATTATGAGCTCGAGATTTCTATGAGGTGATAGTTGATGAGGCCGAAGACCGAATCAACTATCACCTCATAGAAATCGAGAGCGAATAATCTAATTGTTTTAGTAGAATTCTAACTTAAATGAAAGCAAATAATGGTTTCCAAATATTTTTCGACGCATTATTCAACTTGACGCTTTAACAGAATCGCACGTATTAAATTGTCCTTGGTAAATTTGCAGTTGTTTACGTGCGCGCAACGGTTTTTCAATAATTTCAAGTTTTTAAAGTCAAGAACCCGTTTATGTCCTTCCTTTTGTCTTCTCAGGAATAAAATTATCCATTTACATCTAAACTTTCTTCCAAATCTTTGGTAAAACGATAAAAACGTCGCATTTCGTGGACGATCGACAGCTACTGCATTCTAATGGCTGATAGTATACGAGTAACTCAGCTAATCAGATTGCAGCATTTGCATTAGTATACTAATAGAATTCTACTAATATTAATTAGGTTATGTAAATGGAAGACTCGTTAGCTAACCAGGTTTCTTTACTCTCAGATTACTCATTATAAACTTGCCCTCAGTCTTCCTCTTATTTTCGTCGGTGGGCTCTAGTCAGATACGTTTTCTTTAGTATTTCTGGTCTCCTCCGCGTTTATTCAGCACGGGGCAGTATCCAATATTCCTCGCCAGGCATCGAACATATTTTGCTTCGTTTCTTTTCTGCCTTTTGTCTTTGACGTACTAGATCCTTAGTTGGGACTGTTTATGCTGTTTAAACATAGCTGCCACTCGCTTGCTGATAGCCTGTGTCCTTTTCGTTTTGTGTTGTTGCAATCGTATCTTTACGTGTTTTGATCTTCCAGCATAGAGGTATTTTATTCCTCTTCTTCGTTTTAGACCAGTAAAATAAATTCCTGGGATACTCTTGACTGAAGACAACTTATAAGGACTCCAGCGTCTTTTTAACAGCTTAGCACAAATTTGTTTCATTGCTCTAAGAACCTGGGGAGAAAACTACCAGCGTCACGTTACCTAGATTTCCCCAACGGCCTCAACAATCTCCCTTTATCACACGTCAAAACTTCCAGGCTTAATGGAAGCCTGTAAAAACTCATTACAACTGTGTCGAACTGTGAAAATATTCTACCAAGAAGCTCAGCTGTTTTACCGAGCTACTGAACATGTCCAAGGTTGATCTGCTTCTAAATAGACCTAATCACGGTTTTCGACGCCCTCTTGACGGATAGGCAAAGCTGTCAGAAATTAGTGTTTGTATGGGAATCCGATGGCAAATAACTTTTTCCAAAATTGAATTTTACACAATTTGTGAATCAAAACGTTAAAATACTAGGTAGAAGATTGT